CGGGCTCGGGCCACGAGCCACGGAGGTAGTGTAAAATATCTATATAGATCTCCGCATGTTTACATGTATCTACTTACCTTATACACTTACACACGTGCTGCACGCACACGCGCGAAGAGAAGTTGAGTTTCTGTTTTAGGGTTTAGAAAAACACCCTAACTGCCGCAGTTAGGGTTTTAAAGGTCAGTACTCTTCTACGGCTTATATGAGGGGAGAAGTAAGCGCCTTAGTGGGTGTGCAGGGTTTCAAATCCTCGCACTTAGGTTCCTTTTCCAAACCAGCCCAGCCCAGCCCCCGGCCCTCTTTTGCTCCTCTTACTCCCGCTCTTGCTTTTGTACTGCTCTTGCTGCCGCTCTTGTTGGTGCTCCCGCTTTTGCTCTTGCTTTAACTCCTGCTCTGGCTTTTGCTCTTGCTCTCAAGCCTTGCAACCCTCCCCCTAATTCAGAATAGGTTTAGGCCAGGGATGGTTTCGGGAGGATTCGCCCCAATGTGTTTTTGCTATTAGGCGGGGTGTTTAATGAAAGGGGAAGTGATTAATCGAACCTGCCATAGCCCGCCCCCTGCCCAAAGATCAGTGATTTGTCGGCCAGTTGAACATCCAATGAGCTGCATGCAGGACAAGAAGTGGGATGCCCGTGCACAGGTGCTCGCGTAAAGTTTTTTGGAGGTAACTGCCAAGCCTTGCATGTTGGTGCCTGACACAGTTGTGAAGGACAACGGGAGAGATTGGCAGACTCGGCATTTTCCCCAACAGGATCAGAAGGTCCGGATGCGAGCTGTCGTCGAGAATGGTGAGCCTCTCCGACGTGTTGCGCATCAAAGACTTACCTACATCTCTGCCAGGAAAGACATCAGGCAGACATGGCCAAGTTTGCTAGCTTGTTGAATATGCACAACTTGCCTCGCGAGGCGACGGCTTGAGATGTTCTGAGCTGAGTTGCAAGTCACGACAGCGAGCGCTAAGAGAGGCACCTAGTACACCAGCTACAAGATCCTCTCCTACCAAGACGAGATTGGATGGGCAGTCGGTTGAGGCAGGCACGCTACGCTGCGCAGATGACCATTAGAAGTGTGACAAAAAGTGTGTCACGCGCGGGGGCAGTGAGGCGAACCGAAAGCCCGATGCGCGGCAAGAGCCGCGGGAACAGCCGCAGGAGCGATGACACCATGCACGGAGTGTTCGCTATTGGGTCCAAGGGTCTAGTCGTGTTGTGTTTAGTCGCATCGATCCAGCGTGCACTTGGGGATTCCGCTAGAACACAACGATGCCACGTATGTGTGTCTCGAACGAGTGCTTGTGAAATTGAGCGTTTGCATGGGGAATGGCTGGTTTTGATATGTTGTGCTGCCACTCGTGTCTCGAGTTGGTGCTGGCGAAATCCAGCGTCGACATGGGGAATGGCTGGTTTTGATGTTCCGTGAAACGACTGGTGTGTCTCGAACGGGTGCTTGTGGAATCGCATCGATCCAGCGTACAAGAGGGGATTCCGCTGAAGCACAATGATGCCACGTATGTGTGTCTCGCACGAATGCTGTGGAATTGATCGTCTACATGCCGTGATACGACTGGTGTGTCTGGAACAGGTGCTTGTGCAATCGCATCGATCCAGCGTACAAGAGGGGATTCCGCTAAAACGCAATGATGCCACATATTTTTGTCTCGAACGAGTGCTTGGGGAATTGAGCGTCTACATGGAAGGCCGGCTGGAAGCTTGGGTGGGCTTTTGGTGTCAGACACAGGGGGTATCGTTCAGGGTATCGTTCTAGTTACGTTAAAGGTATACACATTTTTGTGCCCCCCATTCCAATTCCCAGGTAAATCACCACCACTTGCACAACCAGCATCAGCTCCTCCTTGTGAAATTGAGCATGTGCCTGGGGAATGGCTGGTTATCTTGCGCTGTGATGCCAATGATGTGTGTCTTGCGAGCGTCTACATGGGGAATGGCTGGTTATCCAGCGCAGGGATGCCAATGATGTGTGTCTTGAGCCGCTGTTGTTGATGTGACGAAACGAGGTGATGTGAGTGCAAAACAGGCACGAATACCTGCGGCACGCGGACACTGCACTCGTTTCGTTACATGTGTTGAAACCCGCCTCCGGGCGGCGTGCACATGGGGCTTCGCTATTTCTGATGCGACGAAACGAGGTGATGTGACTGCAACATAGGCACGAACCTGCGCCACGCGGCCTATTTATCCATGTCGTCGCATGTGTTGAAACCCACATGCGGACCGCGTGTCCATGGGTTTTCGAGATTTCTGATGTGATGAAACGGGGTGATGTGACCGCAAAATAGCCACGAAGACCTGTGCCAAGCGCCCTTTCCATTCATGTCGTTACATGTGTTGAGTTTGACCGCGTGCCCATGGGGGGTTTCGATATTTGTGATTTGACTAAGCGCGGGTGATACGACTTAACGCGGATCGGAGCGTGACAAGGGGGATGTTGTGACTAAAGGCGCCCTGATGCGATTTGACCCCACCGCTCGTACTGCCTGAGAGCCTTGTTGCAGGAGATAAAGGCAGAAGAGGCTCCAGCAGTCGAAGAGGCTGCCGGAAGCGGAGTAACTTGACTTCCATTCCGCTTGTGAGGCCCAGAGCGCAGCTGGGCCGACTGGGCAGAAGTTGATTGTTCGGCACAAGTTCGATGGCAGAGAGCACCTTGTCAAGCTGAATCTGAGCCGCGGCTTTTGATGCACGCACATTGATATGCCTTCTGCTGGATATCCCAGCAGACGCTGACGCTCAGATATGGTGACAGCTACCTGGTCCTTCAGAAGGGTGACGTGCTCATCTTCTTGAGGGAGGCTCGTCGATGCCTTCTAGCATTGGTCCCTTCCCCTCCTTGCCAAAGCTCGCCGCCCACCAATATGGCGAAGGAATCAGAATGGGCCTTCTGTCGACGTGCGGGGTGCCAAGTGCAAGCCCTTATCTTTCCGTTCACAAGCAGCCTCAAGAGCACCAGGAGCTGCCTGGCCCTGGACCTATGGAAGGATGGTCTGCAAACTCAGAGTGCATTCGGATCTGGCAGACGTCGATCATGCGTCATTCGCTGCCGTCGAGACTTCGAAGGTTTCCACCCAACTTCGCGCAAAAACTGGCTCAGGGGGCAGACGCAAAAACGATGCGTGCGTGCTGGTTTTGGTGCCCACCATCCTGCAGCGTCCGAACGACTGGCCGAGTGGCGACATCAAATGCATTGCATGGTGGCGCCAAGTTGCAGCGGCTCAAGTATGAGCCTACACGCATGCATGCCCTAGCCATTCGACCTACCTGTCAGCTGTGCAGACACATGGAGACGACAGTACTTGATGCAAAGTAATCAGTCGGTGCTGGCCGTGGCTTTCCCATGAAGCCTGCATTGCCTGGAGCCAGACGCCCGGGAAGGCCAGCAGCCCGCTCTGCCCGCTCTTCCGGCCCTTTTTCAGACATCCTGTGAGCCAGGCATGCGACTGCGAGCGCCAGTGCGAGGCTCAGGCGATGGCTGGGAAGAGAGGCCAGGGAGGCCGAGGAGGCGGAGGACGAGGAGTGTTTCTTAGGATTTAGGGTTTAGGGTTTGAAATTTAAGGTTTAGGGATTTACAGTCTGCAACTTAGGGTTCAGGGTTTGGGCTTTTCCTCGGGAACCGCATCCTGAGTTTGGTTTCGCTGAGGTCTGGCTCTTTTTGGTCATACAGGCGTCGCAGGCAGGCCCGTGTCTGTGGCACTGTGGACATAGGAGCTGCCACAAGTGCAAACCAGCCTGCCAGAGGTTTGCGCGTACGACCTGGCCTTCTATCACCACTACCCAGATGTTCGCGACTGAGTGCAAGTCTAAGTGCATCCTGTGTCTGCCGCAATGAGCCTGCATTGCCCGAGAACGTGTCAATCTGCTTCCACTACGGGCTGAGCTCGCTGCAGTTCTCGGTGGGGCCAGGACCTCAATGAGCGAACCAGCCGAAACCTTAACCAGAGCACGGAGACAACTGCCATGCGCACCAAATCCCCAGTGAAGATTCTCGGGTTAGATGGAGCCGAGCTCGAACTGCAATCGAAACAGTTAGCGCCATCTCCAACATCGCTTGGATCGGGGCGACATAAAGCTGCATTGAAACTGCACTGGGACGGAGCCTTCCTGCCCAGACCTGTGAACCTGCTAGTCGGTTTCGAGTCGGTGGTGGTGATGATGGTGATGATGATGATGCTGATGCTGATGACGACGATGACATTGGTGATGGTAGTGTGGTGGTGAAGAAGAAGATGATGACGATGATGATCATGACGAGTCGAGGATGATGATGCCGAGGCTATGCTGATGCTCAGGCAGATGAGGCTGATCATGAGGGAGATCTTCATGCTTCGTATTCGAAGCGAAAATGAGGGGCCAGACCAGTAACACATCGAAGAAAAGACCTAGGCGAAGCACTGTTTGTAAAAGACTTTCACTTCGCTAGCACAATACTGAGGCCGCTCTCCTTCAAGGACGTCGGCTACGCACGTGCCCACCCCGAAAAAGACATTCTCATCCGTGGGCTTTGGCGACAGCCTTGCAGCTTGTGCTCACTCAGAAATTTCAAGCGAGAATGCTGGTGGTGCGAGCTTTGTCTATGCCGCTGGCTAAGCTTGACGCGATTCCGTGAGCGCACAACATGTACTGGAACAAAAATTGACAGGTCGATGCCTCGGTAGCCGGAGAGGCGAGCAGTGATGTCTGATCGTGACTCCTTTTTCTGAACCTTGACACAAGCAGCTCCGATATCGTATCCGCCAAGACTCCAGGATGCAGCGGGGTGATTGGTTTTTGATCATTTCAGGTTACTCCTTGAACTGATGATGCGGTGCTTGACAGACATTCGTGGTTTGAATTTGGGTACTGCTGGCAGAACTGCTCAACATCTTCGTCCTCTCTGCTCGGTGCACAAAGAGCTGCAGCCTTGGAAGTTGGGTATGATCGGACGAGGTTGACATGTTGACATCGAATCCACGCGTTGAGGCTCCTCTCCAGGAGGCTGGCTCCAACATCTTTGGATTGACAGCTGGGGCCTAAACATGAGAAGTTCACAGGGCAATGAGGTGCACTTTCCCAGGAATCGCATCTTGGTCACTCGCAGGCCGCCCCAGGCAACCTGCAGAATTTCGTGCTGGTAGCCTACCGGGGAGGCCAGCGCGACATAGACCTTTGGCACCGTCGTGTTGTAATTCACAGCCGATGACAGCCACGGGTACACTGTTGAGCGCTAAATCTATTGAAGCAGACTGAAACAAGCTGAAACAAGTGGGGCCATCTGCAGCCCTGTCACTGCAGTTCTGCCTCGGTTTGCAGCAGAGGCTCAGCAGCGCCTGCCTGGAAGCCAAGCGATGCAGACACTTTTCAGAGTGTCTGGGCAGGGCCTGGGTCATTTGGTAAGGTTGGGCACACCAGGGCACACGTAAGTCTGGCAAGGTCAGTGCGGATCACAGCATCCTGAGATTTAGCAACGAAGGCGATGGCGCTTGCAGCCCCTTGTCCTTGCGGCTTCAGCACTTTACATTGATGTTACTGCTGCTGCATGCCGCATGCAGGCTTCTCAGAATGCCTTGCGGAGCTGGGATCCTGGGTGCAAAGGTTGCGTCAAGCGGCCTGCTTTGTGAGGGTTAGTGGTTGCATGGCGCCCAAATTAGGATTGTAGTTACTGGAAAGAGCCGCAGCATTGTCGGGCCCTCAAGACGGCACGGAGCGCACATGAAGAAAGAGTCCTTCTGTTTTAGTCTGCGGTTGCGAGAACCAGGTCGGGCGTCTCTCACCTGGTGCTGGCATGCAGGCCGCGGGTCCTTTCAGGAAGTCATGCTATGGCCGCGAAACAGTGAAACCGCAGAGCCACATGCCATGGATTTCTTTTGCAGCCAAATCGTCCGTGAAGGTGTCGCTAGCCTGCGATGCCGCCGAACAGGCGCCGACAGCGCTGTCGTTTAACTGCGGCGGGGAGGCGCTGCCCCACGAGCTTCGGAGTGGATGGTCGTTTCCTCTAGGAACTCTGGTCGTGGCCTTTGCATAGGTTGTCATGCACGAGATTGCCAATGACGGATTGGGTTCGGTGATGTGTCCGGGTTCCACACTCCAGGCCGGACAGGATTTGTGCAGCATACAACATGCAGTTGAAGTTGTCGTCAGTTCTCGAAAAGGCTGCTCCTTACAGCCCCATCGACAGGTATCGCTTGTTGGCCGCTTGGAGCTCAACGGTGCCCTTCGCTCAGACCCAGTCAGTATGCAATGCGGGCTTTGCGCGGATGAGGGTTGCCCCTCTGCAATCGGTGTGACAGAAGACTCTTCACGTGCCTGAGACCTTCGGTCCTTCTGTGCAGCTTGTGCGCGGCTCCCCATGCTCGTGTGCCGAACGCCCCGATCTCAGAATCAGCAGCGAACTTTCGAGGGTGAGTCTGAGTTGCAAGCAACTAGCTCGGGCTGTAGTAGCTGTAACTCTGGAACCTCGCCAGGTTGCCGGCCTTCTTGTGCTGTTGCTTCTTCAGACAGAGCCGCGGAGCGGCCCTTAGGGGCTCCTTTCAAAGAGGCATGGCATGGCACTGACCTGCCCGGCTTTGAGGTCAGTGGACTGATGTTCCTCCTGTTGCAAGCCATCGTGTGAGATGGCTCGTTGTCCAGCTAGTCTCACCATGAGGGCAGAATCCCATGCCTTCAGCAAGCACATGTAATATCATGGCTTGCCGGAAAAACGAAAGACTTCTCTTGCGTAGGCAAGGAGCTTCATCCTCCGATGCCCACTGCATTTGGCTGCTCGACCGTATGCCCGAGACGCACATGAGCTAGAACGAGTGCGCCCAACTCAACGACCTTGTGTTTGGCACGGACGATGCCGTCGTTGCTTCTTCATTCGCAATATGCGCTGATCTCCGTCCAGCTTTGCGTTTATGCTGCTCCACATGCCACATGGATACTGGCTGTCATTCCGGAGGAATCGTGCTGTGTTGCTGCGCCACGTAATACGTGGCAATGGCCGGAGCGGCGTGCGTCAGCGTGTTGATGCAAGCCAGCAGGTCGCTCATTGGTCCTCATGCAGGACGGCGTCTTGTTTAAGTCTATCAAAGCAACGCAAATTCTAGGCGTGTTGCAGAATAGGCTTTGCAGTATGCCATCGTTGGCGAACTGATGACTCTAAACGTCACGGCGAGTTGCTTCAGTGTACGTAGCCGGGGTGCATGAAATTCATTACGTCTTTGTCAACGCCGCACTCTCCGCCATCGCTGCGGTCACCGTCCCACAGTCCTACCGAAGCGGTGAGTGGGTGCCAATCCGATGGTCCGGTGAACCTTCGATCTCTAATGACTCTAATGCAGCAAAGGTCGTTTACACTGATGGACCGTTAACCGCCGTGGCGTTGCAGCTCGCACCCGTATCGCTGGCGTATCCACGGTCCACATCCCCCGCCTTGCGATGGCCCCCGCTCTTTCCCCGACGACAGCGAGTCGCGCCTCGAGGCTACCGGAAAGGCACATGCACTGGGCGCTTGTAGCGACGAGACACGATGCCCGCATCGCTTGTTGGCACCCCTAGTTAGTTGGGTCTTCCCAGCACTCTGTCGACCTTGCTGTCCTCAACGTATACATGGACACTCACAGGCCAACACTGATGTGTGTGTGACCCAATGCATGTCTTATCGCCCATCGCGGGAAGGAGCGCACGCCTCCTGCTCCATCTGTACAAGCTTTGCACTCAGGATGGAAAGTTTAGTCTTGGGGGCCAGCTTGAATACTCCTGATGCCGGCATGCCCACCTGCCCTCGCTGCACCGCCACAGGCTTTCCCACTCCGCTCTGCCGCGCCGGCTCCACGCAAGCGCTGGCATCGTGTCGCTGCTTCCGCTTGTGATGAGCGCACCTTCGAGACGCACCTTTCTCACTTTGATCCCGCGTCTCGTGCGCTTTTGTTCTGGCAAGCAAGACCTCGTGCGGTCGGTGCCTTCGTGTTGTACATCCCCCCGGCCATGGTAGTGCCATCGGCGCACTTCCGAGTCTTTGATTCCTGAAGCTCCCCATCCTCAAGATTCCTCAACGGAGAATCGCAGACACGAACATTGTATACAGAATATGTACGTTCCGCTTCAAGCAATTCACGTCGCATTGAGGTGGCGCGAATGGCCTGTCCTCGTGGCGGTGGCGCAGCTCACGATCGATGCCGCGATCGTCAGTCCAGTTCTAAATACCCGAGCCGGCTACCCGCGCCGCAGCCACCGTGCAAGACGCACTCGCCGCAAACGGCGCCAAACCTTCTCGCGGATCTCGAAACCCGACACACATTGCTCATCGGACATAGAGTTGGGTGGTCGCATCTGCAGCGAAGAGAGGAAGCT